ATCCACATCGGATGCATCTGAGATGTAAAAAATCTTTGATCACGTGATTCAGTATGCTGACGTAAATGTCATGGGACAGATTTGTCCGATGTGGATAAAAAAAACGCTCGAGATGTAAAAAATGCATCCGATGTGGATTCTCAAACGCAGCACATGTAGGACGTTTGTGGAACTTATGAAGACTAGAGATAGTGGAACTCTTTTTATATGAGCTGGAACTATTTAGCTCGTTCTTTGTTTAGCCACGCCTCACGTTTATACTCTTATAATCTATGGCCTCACGTGAACCCTGAACAAGGAGCGCATGGACCATAGATTACTAATGTGAATAGATGGGAAACTCAATGGTAAAATTCTGAGTCTATGTGCTGCCATCTATCAAATTGGAGTGGTACTAAAATTAAATATGGCCGCCACGAGCGGGCTTTTTGAAATTTAACTTTGTAGTAGCGCAAAAATGTAATGAAGAAAATTAAATAAAGCAAAAAAATTGGATAAATATTTGACTAGTTTCAAATCATAAAACAACCATATTGACTGTTTTGTGATTTGAAACTAGTCAAATATTTTGCCAATTTATATCTTTATTTGATTTTACTTCATTATATTTTTGCATTAATTTCAAACTTGAAATAAAATGCATTTTATTTTATTTTTTTTTTATTACAGTAAATTAACGCCGCATCATATAATTTGTCTATTTAAACATGGAAATACTCTAAACAAATATGCATTTACACCATTTAAATTAAATATTTATAACACAAACCTATCAAAAATGTTTTCTGTAAAAAAATCAGCATATATAAGTTTTCAAGACATTTATAAAAGTTTTGCGACTTGGAGTGGCAAATCAGTTTGAAAAAATTGAAGTTGAAGCATCAATCCTTTTTGACTATCGAGGCAAATTTGAGTGGATAAAATTTGCCATACGGTTATCGAGTCAACTAGTTAGGTTGAGGAGCATTTCTTCATCCGATAATTGTTTTCTTGATTCATTTATACAGCACTTGTAGTTATCAAATTTTTATTCATCATGTGGGCACTGTGATAAATGAATTTAACTTTTGAGCATAAATTAAACTTACACACGTTTGGACCCTTGAAGATTTTAGGGCGTTTTCTTGTTTGATGTCAATGGCATTGAATCAGTTTTTGATATTGATGGCTGATGAGGCTCAAATATTTCATCAATCGACAGGGTATTTTGGAGGGCCAACATTTTCTTTACAACAATGATCATTTAAAAACTGAAAACAAAAAGAAATTTAAATAAATTATTTTAACACTGAATCAAAAACAAGTTTGTAAATAGTACTTACCATTGATGCCAATACAAGATGCATTTTTCTTAAGACACTTATTACAAATTGTTTGGTTATCCTTAACGACCTCATATTTAATACGTGGTATAAATTGCATCACTACCAATATCTGGGAGTGCTTTATTGTTCGTTGCTGAAATCCATTTTCCCATCTCATGAAAACATGCTTAAAATTGGAAGGTGTTGAAAAATAAATCTAGATGAATCAAAATCCAATACACCTTCAAATGCAACAGCCATTTTAATTTTTCCAAGTTTAAAGTTTTGTTGACAAGCTGACAACTAACATGACATTTCGATACAAGCGCCATCCCGTTAATTGGAGTGGTACTAAATTACCGTCCTCATGTTTTTCCATTTGAGTTACCAGCACGTGGGATGGACCCACCGGGAAACCAGGAGAATTCCCGGAGCGCCGGTCCTATAAGCGTCGGCAGGTGCCGGTTCTAGCACCGAAAGTCGCCGGTCCTAGCGTTGACAGTCTTCGGTCCCAGCGCCGCACGATTTTTTATTTTTATTTTTAACAATTTAAAGTCTCAAAAGAATTGAAAAAGCCAGAATTTATTAATCTACTTAAGGGTCGATTCCACCATTGAGTTAAACGTAGATTAAAATGACATTGTTAATGTAAAAATGTCATTTTAAACTTCGTTTAACACAACGGTGGAATCGGTACTTATTAATGAAGCATCTAATATACCTCCGCGTTCGTCTGACTCTGGCCTCTGCCTCTTTTTAATACTCCAGGATATTGAAAAAATGGGCGACGAGAGAGTATGTTGCAATATAAAATATGTTTTTTATGTACGTTTACTTAATATATTCTGCTTAATAACATTTCCTTTTCATATAAATATATAGTTAATGAGTTTGTAACTTTGTGCCTGTGTGTGTGTGTTTGTTGTGTGTGTGCGCGTGTGTGTGTGTGTGTGTGTGTGTCTGTGCGCGCGCGCGCGTGTGTATTCGAGATATTTGAGAAAATGTGTAAATTTCGAATTTTGAAGAAAACTCAAAAACGGATAAAGAAAAAAACATTAAATTTTAAACTTAAGTTTTATTTCGGCCTGACGTGAAATGATTCAAAGTCGGAACATCTGGGTGGGTACTTTATGGGAGGCCGTTTTTATTTTTTATGGAATATGTCTGTTATTTATGTTTGGAGAAGAAAATTGTTCAAATAAAAGTTACTTCTAATATTAATATCTATAATTTTTGATAAATGTCAAACTTTCCTGAAATGGTCCGTATTCGAGAAATTTGACAAAATGTGCAAAATTCTGATTTTTATGAAAATTGTTGAACTAAAAGTTGTTTGCGATATCGATCTCCATAATTTTTGTTTATATATGATTTTTTCTAAAATGGACCGTAATGGAAAAATTGGAGGAAGAGTGCTAAATTCAAATTTTTCAGTATTTTCGTTTTCAATGAATATCTATAGAAAAATGTTTCGAGGTAGAGATGTATGTGGAAAATGTATATATTTACCCAGACAGCACACCAAATCCTTAGGATATCTACTGAACATCCCAATATGCACTGAATGTCCAGTCCATGGTGGATATCTATTTTATATCCATGAGCTGTAATTTATAGACATGCAAATGTCCATAAATAATAGTAATTATATAGCAAATTATTAAAAAATTACGCCATTGTGCTCGCCATTGTGGCTAATAGAACCGTTCAGATATTTAAAATTAATTTTTTTAAGGTGTATTCAATATCCCATGGACATCCACTAAATATATCAAAGTCTAGGCCCGAACGCAAACCATCGTGGATATCCACTAGATGTAATTTTTGATTTTGCTTACTAAGTATGCGATACTACTTTCGCATCTACTCATGCTCAACCTGCCGTAATTGAGTTCGATAGAAATTTATTTTACAATCAGACTCCATTAGAGACTGGAGTCGAGAATTTCCATTTATTGCTGAAGAGTCCCAATAAGGATGACTTTCTCCTTAGTGGGCAAAATCAAAGGCAGAGTAGAGCGTTGAAAATACTTTGAATGTTGAAAATATTTTTTATCTCTGCTATTTTCTTTCGACTTTATACAATAATCATTGGTTACTTATGAACCTCTACTAAAGATACCTATAAAATATTTTGCTGAATATCCGAATTCTTCTATATCCTGGGATATAGACGGACATTTGGTTGGATATCCATATTGGATATCCACAGAATATATTTTGTGGATATCTCTGGGATTTCTTGTATTGTCTGGAAGATACTAATTCGATATTTTGCTGGATATCCACATGATATCTTCTATATTCTGGATATAGACGGACATTTGGATATCCATATTATCCTGTTGATATATTGGTTACCCACAAAAGATATTCTGTGGATATCTCTTGGATTTGGTGTGTTGTCTGGGTAGTTTATCCTCTAAATATTTGTAGAGGTGCTGCAATAGGTTGTACAAAATAACCGAAAAAAGCCTATAATAACTAGATAGGAAAGTCATGTGTTGGACACATCAGATTTTTATTTATATATGTAATAATAATTATTTTAGGTTCTTTTTTACCTATGTTTATGTAAAAAAATGGAATTTATTTTTTATATATTTATCGGTTATTGTAAAATAATTTGTGGTTAATTTAATAATAAAAAAAAAAAATAAAAACAAATTCTTTTAATTTTTTGCTGAACCAGCGGGGCGCCAATTTAATTGACTTCCTGTGCCGGTCTAAGGGGTCCCATCCGCCCCTGTAGAGAACCAATCAATAAAAAACCGGTACCGTTTCCTGAGAAAGCTAGAGGCATGGAGGAAAGATTATTAGAGGCTAGAGGCTTCGATGTGGCTTCGATTTCTAAAGGCACAGGAGACATCTATTACCTACAGAGGGGTCTATTCTGTAACAATTCCTTTATATTTTAACGGTCTTTAGAAATATTTTCTTCTTTAATTCTATTATTATTTAAACAGATCTTTATACATTAGAGGACTATCTTAAAGAAATCTGTTTAAATAATGACAGAAGTAAATTAACGAATACGAAAATATTTTTAAAGGCCGCCAATGTTTTAACGGCCGTTAAAATATAAAGGAATTGTTACAAAATGACCCCAGAGTCCTTTATTTATAAAGGCAAACAGATTTTAAACCACGTACTAGTTCTGTTTTAACATGTGCCGATTTTGTCCCACTTTTGTCAGACTTAAAAAATAATCTTCATTTAAGCCGCCTAAAAATACAATTTTTTCTAATGTTCAAATAGAAGAAATTTATCTCTTTTCTATTTAAAATTGACCGCCTATTCCAGTTAACCTTTAGAGAAACTTAAAAAAATACTATTTGCTTTCAATTTTAGATAATAAAACTACATGATAAATTTTGATATAGAATATTTAAATTTCAAAAAGCTGAACAAAGTATATGTATTATTGGTTACATATCTAGTAGTGTGAATAATTCTACCAAAGTTTTTGGATCTTTTTGTAACTAGACATCTTTCAAGCTCTAGCCAGTATTTTGGGAGCCTATGAAAAAAAATGTTTTTTACCCATAACATTATTTAAATTAAAAATATTTATAGTTCGTATTGTTTTATCACCTTTCACTATTTGAAGGTCCCGCGGACAAGTTTACAGTTACTTGGCCATATGACAGGTGTCAGCACCTTCGAAGTTTTAATTTCCATTGTTTTTACAGACATTTGACTGAATGTGAACATAGTTACTTTTTTGTTTCTGTTTGAAATTAACAAACGTTTACTTTATTTTGAGTTAAAACATTTTTTTAAAACAGTTTTGAATCAAAGATCACATAAGTGTAAGACAAATAAGTAAGTCAATATAAGGACTAAGTGAATAAAAATTGTGTTATACCTTTGAGATTGAGTCAACAAACTCTAGGATTATATAGGTGTGCCATTTTTTGAAATGTTGAATAAGAAAATAACAAAGAACATTACTTAATTATTGTTATGCGAAAATTTCGTTGTACGGAGTGTTTCCATGTGTCCAGGGAAGAATAAACGCATCAGAATGTGGATTAAAGTTGTGTAAAAGCGGTATGTAAGTTTATTTATTTATTTAGTAAAATAGTTTTAATTTAAAAAGGTGGTTGTGTAGCAGTTTGATAGTGGAATGCTGCTTATGAATATTAATGAGTTATAAAAGTTATTTTGTGAATTTTGTCAAGGTGAGCCTAAGCATAAGTGAATACATAGAATATACAATACAGTCATTCACCTAAAACTACCTCTCTCTTTTACTCGCCTGTGGACAGTTGAAAAGAATAAATATGATATTAATGCAGTGTTGACAAACTTCAAGTTACAAAATCTCAGAAAAATTCAATTTCATTTTTAATTTCATTTATTAAGAATTGCATTGCAATAGGTCTTTTCCTTTGCATCGAAAGTGTAGCACTAAGCTACGTCACTTCTGAAAATATCGTTCCATCCATACAATTTGTATATATGGAACGATATTTTCAGAATTGGTGTAGCCCAGTGCTACACTTTCGATGCAAAGGAAAAGACCTATTAAGTATATTGTTTAGTTTTTTTTAGAAATACATATACAATGGAATATAGTTTTCACCAATCTGATATAAGTAATTGAAAATTTTGATAAATTGCGGAAAAAACACTGGACCTAATACATTCACTCTTGGCTTCAAAAAACTAACAATGCTTTCACTAAAAAGGGGTTAGGGACCAGTAAAAATCTACATGGAACACTATCAAATAATGGTGGGTTGATTTTTGTTGATTTTGAAACAGTAGATTCAAGTAAATACCTAATAAGTAGATTTAGGTTTATTATTTTCTTAAAATCCAACTACCTACACACCTGCAAATTAAACATTTTTTTTAGAAAATATAAATTTACTTTTTACTACCTACACACCTGCAAATTAAACATTTTTTTTAGAAAATAAAAATCTACTTTTTATAAACCTACTTAGAAGTACTTACTGTATATGGTAGGTATTCTATCATTTTATTACGTTTAAGTACTCTTAAGTTGTGGACATAATTATACCTAGATAGTTACTTATTACTTATTGGAAATACATTACAGTAGAACCCCAATTATCAGAGGTAATGTGGGAAGGACCTGCCTCAGATAACAAAAAAGTCAGATATTCTGTCACACACATGGGTGGAACTGGCAAGGAGTTCCCTGATGATTTTAAGTGAACATTCTATGAGCTCCGTTAATATGGAGCAATGAGGTTAATAAGGAGCAATGCCGTCCTTACATTGGATAATCAGAATGTCTGATTGGCTCGGTTAATTTGGACCTTGGGGTTCTACTGTATACATTCATATTTCATATTGGTTCATATTTATTTATTGTGACGACATTATTCCGAACATTATTTAATATACATATATGTGTATTTAATCAGTTACATCATTACCTCGATCATTACTTAGTGAAAAAGAAGAAAATAATGTTTGCACACTATTCCATATAGAATGAGATATAGAACCGAAAATGTAGAAAAATTAACAAAATATTAAGTACAGCGAATTTTACAAACATTAAGTTTAGATGGCTATTGAGAAATTCGCTCTTCCAGCAAAACAATGATGCAAATGTAAAATTATACATTTTTCAGGAGACAAAAACGAATATTATTACTTCCACATAAATCACAAAGAACTTGTCCTAAATAGCAAATAGGACATTTAACCATGGAGTGAGTAACTTCTCCCTTAAAGTTGCAGACACAACTGATTCATGTGTCATTGTTTTCCAAAAGTGGAGGGGCAAATGTTAATGTTTTAAAATTGACTCAACTACCATTTAGCAGCCACGAGTGGATATAAAATTACGCCTTTCTTATACTATATAGAGAGAGACTAATTTGGAAACTAATGACATGTTAAAATCAAAATGTCATAATTTTGCACTTGCGTCATTGTTTTACCGTAGAATATTAGAATATTTGTGGACATTTTTTTAATATTTAAAATATTGCTTAGGTCTATTTGTATCAATATATTTCTTTCTTGGGGTGAGTAAAATCATCCAAATAGTGATCTAAATAATTTTGTATTTTAATGATATTCTTTTAATTTTTAGTATTCTCGGTTAGAAGGTATTACTTTACTCATAGGTATTTTAAGAATAATTTAATAAAATAAAACTGAGAAGTTCCAGTTAATTTTATACAAATTTATTTTTTTAACCTATTTAATAATTATTGTATAATACTTTAAATAGTTTAAATTTTAAATATACCTATATAGGTACCACCACATTTTTAAGAGTTTATTAAATTTGATTTCATATTTTACTTATTTTATTTCCAATAACTTAAAAAGAAACTATTTTAAATATTAAATTACAGAATATTAAATTTTAATTTTCACATTTAAATCTTAATTTAATCCTTAAATCCTAGTACATATCCACTAGGAAGTGCGTCTAAAACTATATTAATTTACATATTATTTAAGACAAATCGCGCAATCCGGCAACATTGTTTTAGTGACAGGTATGGCGAGTGTTTTAATACACAACTTGAAGGTCGCGCAGCGGGTCATGTGACATACCAGAGCCGGAGCAAGGACGTTCAAACACCTTTCTCACAGTTAGTTCTCACAAAACAGTTATCCATACAGAAATAACAAATTGTTAGCTGCACTGTACAAGGTTTAGTCAATAAATGTATTTTTTTTACTACTAACCGAGGGGTAAATACATTGGGAATTCTTGTGTACATCTGTTTGGGAATTCCCGGGAATTCTTTGGGAATTCTCTATAAAAATCTGATGTGTCCAACACATGACTTTCCTATCTAGTTATTACAGGCTTTTTCCAGTTATTTTGTATAATCTAATGTTTAGAGGATGAACTAAATACATACATTTTCCACACACTTTTTTATATTTGGTGTTTTTTTTTCTTTTTCTTTTTTAAACTGAAATTCGAAATTTGCAGTTTTCCAAAAATATCTGGAATACGGTTCATTTTAAAAAATTCAAATATTGTACTTTTTGTTAAATTTCTACAATACAGACCATTTAAGAAAAATTATGTATGACACTAAAGCGAGCACAAAAGTTATAAAAAATGCTATTGCAAAAAACTTTGGACAAAAATATTTCTTCTTTAATCATAAATAACTGAAATTCGTTAAAGTAAAAAAATCGATCCCCATAAAGTCCCCCCCCCCCAGATGCTTCGACTGTGCCTAAAATTTAGTCAGCTTACCACAAAATGTGTTTAAGCTTAAATTGAAAATTTGGTGTTTTTCTCTTTATCCCTTTTTGAGTTATGTTCAAAATTCTAAATTTTCACTTATCTTCAAATTTCTCAAATACGGGCCATTTTAGGAAAATTATGTGTAAAACAAAAAATATAGAGAATAATTTTGCAAACAACTTTTCTTTAAGGAAGTTTCTTCTGCAAGCGTATATTTAATAAAGTAGAAAAATGACCCTGCATAAAGTACCCCCTAGATTTTCCGACTATGTCCAAAATCTAAACAACTTATTGCAGGGTAGATTAAAGCTTAAGTTTATAATTTGGTGTTTTTCTCTTCATTCGTTTTTGACTTATGTTTAAAATTCCAAATTTTCACTTTTTCTCAAATTTCTTTCACGGCAGGGTGGATTAAAGCTTAAGTTTATAATTTGGTGTTTTTTCCTAATCCTTTCATGAGTTATCGAGTATAAAGAAACACGCGCAAGCACGCTCGCACCCGCACCTACGCACGCACGCAGGCACGCACGTACCCACGCAACCTCGCATCCGCGCACGCATCTACGCACGTACCCACCCATGCACCCACCCTCGCATCCACCTACGCACCCACTCACGCACCTACGCCGAGACCTACGCACACATAGAGGGGAAAGTAAAAAATGTTCTCCAAATAACCCTCATAAAGGACAAAAGGAAGGTGCAAAATAAAGTTATTAGAAAAATTAATAACAGTACGAAAATTTTATTTAAAAAAAGTATACTGTAAAAATATTTACCTTAAAAAAACTTCAAATGTTGCTAAACAGTGGATAACGGCAAAATGTTATTTTTGATCGTTGATAAAATTGGACATACAGGGATTTTCAAACATTGTCAATTATAATTAAAATTGTTTAGAATTGAACAATACCTGGAATATATTATCCAAGTATGCAATGGAATATATCTGTTATTTACGATTATAGAAGAAATTTCTTCAAATAAAAGTTGTTTAAAATATTATTCTTTATAATTTTTGCCCCATACATAAATATCCTAAAATGGCCTGTATTCGAGAAATTTGAGAAACAGTGAAAATTTTGAACTCAAAAACGGATAAAGAGAAAAACACCAAATTATAAACTTAAGCTTTAATCTACCCTGCGGTGAGCTAAATGTAGTTTGGGCATAGTCGGAACATCTGGGAGGGGGGCACTTTATGGGAAGTCATTTTCCTACTTTATGGAATATATCCATTATTTACGCTTAGAAAAGAAACTTCTTTGGATAAAAATTGTTTGAAATATTATTCTCTATAAGTTTTGTCCCATACATAATTTTCCTAAAATGGCCCGTATTCGAGAAAATTGAGGAATAGTGAAAATTTCGAAATTTTGAACATAACTAAAAAACGGACAAAAGGAAAAACACCAAATTTTTAATTTTAATCTACCCTGCGGTGAGCTGAATATATTTTGGGCATGGTCAGAACATCTGGGGGGTACTTTATAGAAGGCCATTTTCCTACTTTATGGAATATATTTGTTATTTACACTTGGAGAAGAAACTTCTTTGAATAAAAGTTGTTTGCAATATTATTCTCTATAATTTTCGAGATAATTTTGGTTGCATACTTAATCTTATCAAAATGACCCGTATTCGAAAAATTTGAGGAAATGTGAAAATTTCGAATTTTAAATTATATCTCAAAAATGAATAAAGAGAAAAACACCAAATTTTAAACTTAAGCTTAAATACATTCTGTGGTGAGTTGTCTAAATTATGGACATAGTTGAAGCATCTGGGGGTGTTTTATAGGGGGTCGTTTTTTAATTTAACGAATATCTCCGTTATTTACTATTGG